CAACCACCACTTAAAGACGTCATCGCACAAGCTCCCGGCACTGTGAATTCAGAGGACTTCTGCTTTCCCACCTTCCCGAGGCGGCTGTGCACTTACCCTTGTTGTTTTCACCTTATTCCCCGAGGAGCAGCTCCATCCTTTCCGATCCGGCAGGACTTTGCATTCCTCTCCCTCAAGACACGGTTGCATATGGCACCACCATTTCTGTTCCACTATTGAAGCTTCGAGAGACGGGAAAATCAATTCAATATTTTCTTTATTTTCTTTTTGGCCTTGTTAATGCTATGGGAGCACATTTAAAGAGGAACAAAAGCCACCTGTTTTTCCCACCAGTGGGTAGATTACGTTTTAAAGCATGCTTCTTTTTTTTTTTTTTTGTCCAAAGGGAATAAATCTAGATTTTCAGACTAAAAACATTTTTAAAAATTTTATTATGGAAAGAATACTTAACACTTTAAGAAGGTAGATCGCATGTTAAGTGTATAATACAGTACTGTTAATGATGGGCACATTTTTTAAGGATTTCTTCATGCAAACATATAAGCTTCATGAAAACTAAGGTATTGGAAAGAAACTATGTGGATGTATGCATGTACTGATTTACACAAACATATAAGGAAATGAGTCCATGATCAGTTTGGAATCAATATTTTATAATCAATGTAATATTTTCCGCCAGTAGGCTAAAATCAGGAAGGTGTTGGAGTCAACGTAATTTTTTTTTAACCGTGGTCAGTAATCATCATCACAAGGAATGCACCAGGCTAATGTAAGCACTTAAATTATTATTTATGATAACATCAATTATATAGCCCTGCATAAATATTTATGGCCTATTGTAATTAGGTGCATCCTCCAATAAAGAATGTTTTTTATGAGTCTCTATAACAATATTTCAGGTGAGTTCTGGCCATAACTAAACACTCCCTAATATGTATGGTATTTATTTTTTCATCGTTAGGAACCATGCATGGGTTGAGGTACCCATATTATTTAATCATCTATCTTCATCTTTCCTTTGCCAATATATTTACACACATACACTCGCTCTCCACAGGCACATCAGTATTTCATGGTATCAAAGTGAGAAGCGCATAGACTCGTTGCAACCTCTTCATAATGCTTTTTGCCACAAAGCTGCATATTGCTTAAGATCTTAAACTTCTTCCAGCATATTTTAGATTCCAGTATTCTCCCCAGATGTCCTCGTATGTACCACGTGATTTATGGTGTGGTCCCCCAGGACTGAGCCCAGTCATCAGCCTGACAGCAGGCTTCCGGTTCTGAGCAGCCCCAGCTACACTAGCACGACGAGCATCGGAAGAAGCCTCACCATCCACGCACGACGGAGCAGCTCGTGTGGTGCCTGCCACCTGGCCGGGGAAGCAGGAGCACTTGACTGTTTGTGACCGTTCTTCTATCTTGTTCTTATTACAGCATCTGTGGAGGGCCACCACCTCGCAAGTGCCCGTTTTAACATGGTGAGCTGCATGGACAAAAACAAAAAATGAGACAATGCTGAGAAAGCCATGGAGACCCCCCCTTTTTTTTTAATTAGAGGCACATTAAATATAGCTCTATAAGGGAGCCACCATGCATGAAACTAGAAATACAATGATGCTGACTCCACAATGCAGATTTGATTTCCTTCCTAAATGTGGTAGGACCATTTCCATCAGTAAATGCTTGGTGAAGCAGGAACAATTAGTGACTAGATTAGAATGAGCTGTTGGAAGAGTCTAAAATATAGAGGCAATACGTGGTACCATCAAAAACATACTTATTTGCATATGACTTTTTTTTAAAACATCTTTTTGTTCAACATGTTTATCAAAATAAGATAACCCCCTGGACAAAGTGCTCTGTTCTGGGGCTGAGATGAGACTTAAGGTGGGCGGGGTTGATAAAGGTTATATTCTTCTTCTAGGGCTGAGCGGAAGGGCCAGGCCGGGAACTGCTTTTCAGGAACAAGGAGGCAGAAGGGGGAATCCACCTCCTCAGGATTTTTCCCTGGAAATGAACAAATTGGATGATTTCTGAAATTGCTGCCATTTTCCTGAAAATCCCATTCAGTCTCAAGACCCACAAATCTCTCCCTTCAGTTTTGCCTGAGGGGACAAAGGCCACCAAATGGCAATAGCCACAACCAGAACTTGGATGGATTTATACCTCGAATGGAAAACCCAGTCCACTAAGCAGTGAGGCTCCCTCGCCCACTTTCTTAACCTCACAGTAAGGCTACTGAAATATTTTTGGGCGATTGAAATTTTTGGACCCCACTTACCACATCATGATAGAGTTCGAGTTTGCCTTCATTGTTTTTTGGGGTTTTTTTGTTTTTTTGTTTTTCACCTCAGCATTTCTACTTCAAACTATTAACACTACTGTGAAATGATAAAGCAGAAGTTTCATCTGCCAAAAATAAAAACGGCTTAAAATCAAAAACGTGTTGAAACACTATGCTTTCAGAAATTTTAAAGCATGTGATTGATACAAAAACAGACAAATAGAAAAGTAGGAGATTTGAAGTTGTTTCATGTTATAAACATACTGAGACCTATTTTGTAAGTGAGATCAGTACATCATGCATTTATATTAATCTTCTCCTTAGAGATGAGGAACCACTGGCCAGTGACTCAAGTTAGATAGCTTGGATTTGTCTTAGAGAACAAATCACATATAGTGTCCACCTCACCCCTCATGTGAGACCAAGAAACTTAGATATGACATACAGTTGTGAACAAAATCCTCAAAAGAACTTTCAAGAAGCAGATACCATTTCCAATGTCGCAAAGATTTTTCTGCCACAATAGGTACACATGGAGAATTCTCTGTTTTTGATTCCAACACCAGGCTACCTCTACAAAAGCTAACAACCTGAGAGCCAGACTGTTCCTACACTCTTCGGCTCTAGAAAATATTTTCTTAGCTAAGGATGGTTCAGTTTGTTTTAATTTACTGAAAGCTTTATGTAATATACAAGTCAATATCCTGCTTTCTACGCTGAACCACACTCAGTTGCGTTTTAACTGAGTCAATACTACATATGAGATACAGCTTTGAGTACTGGGGATGCAACAACGCATAAGGAGGACACAGACTCTCCCCGCAAAGAGCTCATATTCCTGTGGAGGAAACAAATAATGAATAGGTGTTAATGATTAAGACAGCATTAGGCGTTCTAGCTCCTGGGAGGAAATGCAGTGAAGTGACTGGGAATAATCAGGCTGGGAAGGAAGGCAGGTTTCTCTGAGAGTCTCAGGGAAGACCCCTCTGAGGAGGTCACCTGAATGATGGCCTGAGTGATGAGAAGGAAGTGGCCACTATGAAGAGCTAAAAAAGGAAGAGCTTTCCAAAGAGAAGGAGCAGCAAATGACAAGGTTCTAAAATGGGGTGATGTGGGGTGTGTTCCCAGGACAGCAAGACGACCGGCGTGGCTGATCCACCGAGAGGCCGAGGAAAACGCGGCACAGGAAGGGGGTGTCTGGGCGGGGATGACACGGGAAGGAGGCTGGATTTTATTCTCATTGCAAGGGAAAGCCTTTGGGTGGAAATGCTGTCATCTCATTCATTAGAAGTTTGCTCAGACTGCTCTTTAGAGAATGGACCGAGGAAAGCAAGAGAGGATCAGGGAGACCGGCTAGGAAGGGGGTGCAGGAGTTCCGGTGATAAAGGATGGGACGTAGGCTACCGGCGGCAGAGCTGGGAAGAAGTAGCGGGCGGGGGTGTTTCAGTGAAGAGTTGGCTTGACTTTGCTAATGGACTGCATGTGAGCTGTGAGGGAAAGAAGAACCAAGGGTTACTCCTATCCTTGTCCTGAGGAATTCAAAGTTGGTGGTTCAGGTAGACACAGGAGCCCTGGGAAAGGGGAGTTTGGCAAAAGTTGGGTTGGGTCAGAGTGACCACAGTACATTTTGTCTGTGTTAAGTCTGAGACTCTTACAAGACACGCAAGGAAAGATGTAAACCAGGCAGCGACATTTGTGAAATGGAGCTCAGGGAAGAGACCTGGGCTGCAGACACACCTAAGAGATCTAGGTTGATAGGTGGTATTTGAAGCCCTGCACTGGACCAAGTTACCAGGGCAAAGCTACCAACAGTGAAGCAGGGAGAGAGTCGTCCAAAAGCTAAACCCGGAAGGAGAAGACAGCAAAAAAGACGGAGAAGAAGCAGTGCATGAGATAAGAGGAAAAGAACATGAGATAAAGCCATGGAAAACCCAAGAATAAAATATTTCAAGAATGAGGCATTGATCACTTATGCCAAATGCTGCTGAAAGATTTAATAAATGAAGAGAAATAACTGTCCACTAAAAAAGTAATATGATGGAGCAGTTCAGAACATAGCCTCCAGAAACCAGAGTAGCTGGGTTCAAATCTCAGCTCCTCCTAACAGCAGTGTCACCTTGGGCAAATCAGCAAGTACCTCTGACTAGCACTTTTTCATACCTCAGAGGGATGTACTAATAGCACCATCGTCCTATGGGCGGTTGGAGGATTCAATGAGTTACTATGTATAAAGTGTTTCGAACACTGCCTGCCTCAGAGCAGGCACCCTGCGTTCGCTATTATTAGCATTGATCCTGGTAAAAATCATTTTAGTGGCAAGATGAAAATAAGAGCATGATTAAAGTAACTTTATTAGGGAATGAGATGTAAAACTGTGCAGACAATAATAAAAATTTGTTCCAAGGAACTTTTTTCCGGGAAGGGAAGAAGGAAATGAAGCAACAGCTGGAATGAAGCAAAGGGTCACGGAACTTCTTTTTAATGGCTGCCATAAAGGCGTGCTTGCTCGCTGGAATAATCTGGAAGAAAGAGAAACTGACAATATAGGAGAGAAAGTGAGGAATTAGGAAAGAATGTTCTTGAGAGGAAAATGGAATCAAGACTGAGGGCATCTGGGAGGTTGGTACTGGGTTGTCATGGGGACATTTAATCCATTTTAACAAAAGTGAAGGTGGGGTAGGTGAATAGAGTCTGGGTGGTGTGAGGGGATTAGGTGGTGAGAAAATGACAGAGTTTTGTATCAGACTCATTTTGCTATGAAATACGAGAGATGTTTGAGAAGAAAAATCAGAATATGAAATAGACATCTCAAAGAGGAAAAGTCAGTTTCTTGTGAAGGAGCAGTAGGACTCACCGGCAGGGAGGTGGCTGATGCACACCGGAAACTAGAGGACGCAGGAGATGCAGAGGGGGTGGGGTTACAGCACATGGGGGAGAACATCTGTGTGATGGCAGATTATTTGGGATGCTTGGACTTCTGATAGCAA